GCAGAACTAAATAGAGAAGGTACCATCTTCTATAAGAGTGTACAGCTGCTGTCGTATTCCGATGATATTGATATAATTTCGAAAGAAATAAGACCCGATGATATCGCTGTATAGCAATCCGCATCAAAGTAAATTTTTGAGGATGCAATTGCTTTTCCTGAACCATCAGAGAATTTCGCTCACCACAATAGCGACAATTTGGTTTGCTGGCCCATGTAATGGACTTCATCTGAGAATACTACATTTTTTTTAAGGAGCTCATACAGTAGCTATTGTAAAACGTGAAGTTTTAATATAAGTATAACATTGGATAATTTTAAAGTGTTGTATCAGGACATGATGAAAACATAGCCAAACTTTGACCCGAATCCGTAAGCAAACATGTCCGCCAAGAGCTGTCAAAATCAATTTATTCCTATTGGTAGACGCTGTTCGAAATCGAAATCATTCGACATATTTGTCGATTTGGTTACAATTAAATATAATATTTCACTAGGTTATATTCCTCAATGTTAGAAACATTGTGAAAAAATGAAATTTAATTGTTTTGATTATGAGTATCTAATCCGTCTTCTTACAAAATCTCATGTTTGCGACACACATTGGAGAGCCTTACTTTTATAGCGCGTAGCTGTACTCAAAAATGTGTCTATCTTCCACTGCCTGGTCCCTGAATTGAAAAAGTACGTTGCAACATCTATAGAAATGATAACCAAAAACGAACAAATAACTATAATAGCATAAATCAAAATAAGTGATTTGTTTATAATTTACTTGAAAAGATTTTTAGTACTCGTAACTTGCATACATGTTCCCGAATAAATCATCAGTCATCAAGCGCTTAAATAAGTTTGAAGGGGTTTTAAGTTATTAGCAACAATTAATAGCCAATGACTCGGATTAATTTCACTTTTAATCGAATATTTGAATATTTTTTCAAAATTACAGATTTCGAAGCTATTGCGTATTACACAATGCACTATATAGAATCTATAAAAATCGAGTTAGGTTGTTTTATGTGTATAATAAACACATGTTTAGGAATTTATAGAAACACACCTACATACTTGTATTTGAACTAATAATGATGTTCATTATTATGATGACTTTGATGGTTAGCACAAGTATGTATAAACCGTGAAAAAATTATAAAACTGAAACTAATGTTTGTGTGTAAAATTTTACAACTATTTTTCATTAGATTTTAATTTTCTTTGTTTCAGAATAAACAAACAAAATTACTTTCTCGGTACTTATTATAGAGGAAGCTTTTCGTTTTTGGCATCTGTTACATGAACTTTAAGGAAAGCATTATTATTATTCACGCCGTTTACACTATCAAGTGTGTCTTCAAGGTAAAAATAAGCATTCAACGCCGAGAAAGGAAAATTAATTTGTATAATAACAAAACCGCAGTAATAAATTGTAGTTTTCATTTTCCCTTTTGAACGCAGAATATGGTAATAACGAAAATCTAATGTTCGGGAATGAAAGTGCGGCAATAATTTTGCAATTTTTTGTGCAATAAAGGCGAATAAAAATTTATTATTTTACAACCGAGCATTTTTGCGGTGAGAATGTCTGCTTAGTATAGAATTAATGAGCATTATTGGCGAGTGGGTTGAGTTCGTGACTGCAGCAGTTATCTCTTGATTCAAAATTTCAAATCAGTTTAGCAGATTTACAAAATTTTCACATAAATGATTTCTCTTTAATACTACCTTAACCTCTTTAAAAAAATGTATGTAATCGGAAATAACTCAATCATATTTTCATTTCGAATGTATTATATCGAAGTAACATAAATATATATATATATACATATCTTCGATTTAGTGCAACTGCGGGAATAAGAGGACGCCGTCAAAAACCTAACTCATAAGAAGTAGTTGATTGATATATCACTGTTGATGGCCCTGTAATTCATTTCATGAAATTAAAAAAAGTTTGTTTGATCGGAGGTGTGGTGGAGTGACCAAATATGTCAAAAATAGACGACAAGATCATCCGTAGTTTACATAGCTAATGTCTATCATCCAATTATAGCATGCGAACTAATAGCCGCCAAATTTACGAAGGTTGTGACGAGCAACATTCGTAGAGGGCAACAGACAAACCTTCGAATTTGCATACTACTATGATTCAACTATAGTTTTTTTAGTAAAACTTCATTTCAACTATTTTAATCAGCAATTTACAGTATCCTTTTCGTAAAATATTTAATATATGTATTTTGAAGGAGAGATCTTAAGAAATTACAGGAAACATTTTGTTAAAATTTACTAATAAAGACATACAGAAATAAAAATCTTCAAACTAACTCGTTTTTTCTGTGAAATTCAGAACTAATCTTTTTCTTCTTAATTGGACACCGCTTACGCGATTATAGCCGAGTTAACAACAGCGCGCTAGTCGTTTCTTCTATTCGCTACGTGGTGCCAATTGGATAATTGGAGTGAAGGTCTTTCTTTTCCTCTGCTTCCCCCGGCGGGTACAGCGTCGAATACTTTCAGAGCTGGAGTGTTTTCGTCCATTCGGACAACATGACCTAGCCAGCGTAGCCGCTGTCTTTTAATTCGCTGAACTATGTCAATCTCGTCATATATCTCATACAGCTCATCGTTCCAACGAATGCGATATTCGCCGTGGCCAACGTGCAAAGGACTATAAATCTTTCGCTGAACTTTTCTCTCGTGAACCCGTAACGTTGACTCGTCAGTGGTTGTCATAGCCCAAGCCTCTGCACCATATAGCAGGACGGGAATTATGAGTGACTTATAGAGTTTTGTTTTGTTCGTCGACAGAGGACTTTGCTTCTCGATTGCCCACTCAGTCCGAAGTAGTACCTGTTGGCAGTACCTGTTGGCAGAGTAATATTGCGTTGGATTTCCAGGCTGACAATGTTGGTGGTGTTTACGCTGGTTACAAGATAGACGAAATTATCGACGACTTCAAAGTTATGACTGTCAACAGTGACGTGAGAGCCAAGTCGCGAGTTGTCACTAGAAACCACCTGATCGTATTTGACTAGAACTGGCGCAAATAAACTATATGACCAAACTAAATCAATGCAAAAATTTTCATAGATTAATACAAAATTTTTTAAGTCAGCCTGATCTCCGTATATAATTTTTTACTAGCGATTTTTGCCATGGAAAAACTTTAATAACGAATTTGCTAGAAATTTTGCGTATCTTTTTGGGGAGTTTTTTGTATCAAGAACACAAATATTTAAGTGGGACAAAGAAATCAATGAAGGTTTATAATAAGTGTATAGAAAATTGGATTAATAAAAATTTGTATTAAAATATGAGGAATTGTAGTTTTTTGTTTTTTTCAGTTCGGTTAAATTTGATTAGTTGGTAGTCGGCAATAAATTATTGTTATGCTGGACACTTTTAGACAATGTAGCTGATTTTAAAAAGTAAATATGTATGTAAACTTTTTGGTTTTTATTATAAACTAAAATATATATATATATATTCTTTTTTAATTTCCTCGATAGTATAGTGGCAAGTATTTTTATAAAGTCAATAGTCCCATTAAAAATACACTGTAGTTTACACCCACACATTTCATGTTTATCTAAATACATACATATATTCAATTAACGTCACGCACTAACAACCAAAAGAATATTGGAAAGATTAAAAAACGTCACTGCTCTTATTTTATTATGCTTCATAAAAGATTTGCACGCACATTCAATATATAAATTATGTCACATATAACTTATGGTAAATCACATGATTATTAAAAAATATATATGTTTATAAATTAAACTCACATAGTAGCTCCGCTATCACTACACCTCATAAAAGTTTTCTTTCAAAAGTCTTATACAAAAAATTAAAATCGCGCGAGAATTTGCATTACAAATATTACGTTAAATAATTCTGATATTTGTTTTATTTTAAACTGCAGCTAATTCCCCATGTACTGAAGAAAAACTGTACATTCACCGCGAATTCATCGATTATCACCTACTTTTGGTCATAACTGAGCGCCACTTACGAATGCGGCGAGTCGCTATGTTTTTGCTTACTTTTATGAAATGAATCGCAAAAATGCTGAATTAACATTATGTTTCTTTACCATCAAAGTTCGCCTGCCGGCTTACGAATAAACGCACGATTGTGAGACAAAAAAGTCCAAATGCCAAATTATGCTAGTATAGAATCGGCATCGCCATAATATTTTCAACCGGGAGTTGGCAACATCTTGGAATGACTTTTGATTTTCAGAACAAACAACTAACTAACGCCTGTTTTATTGATTATGCGTGATTTGCGCATATTCACTAATTTATGCAAAAACAACAAATCGAAAAACCCCGATTATTTAAAAAGCAGCACCTTGACGTCAAAACTTTTGGAATGTAGACAATCAACTTTGATTTTATTTTCGCAAAACAGTAAACCAAACAATCAGTTATCCCTTTCTCTTCGGTTTCATTTCTTATCCCGATTCATTATACTTTTGTGTTATTTATGTTTTGTATTCTCGTACGTTTTTTGGTAGACTGTTTTCGTATGTAAAACGCTGCTAATATAAATAAAAATACAAATATGTATGTGAATGGACCAGGTAAAAAAAAAATGATTTTCGAATTTTTGATAGCACGGATTTGTTGTTTAAATGACTGATTGTAAGTTATACATATCTACCTATATCGTTGCGTATTGACGAATGTGGCGAGAATCAGATCATTTATACAAGTTTACTGTACACATTTGGACCAATTTATTTATCATGGCTACTTTAATAGAGAAGACACTTAATTGGTGAGAACCAAGGCCGATTACTACAAGACTAATTACTTAAGTTTTAGGGATTAAGTATATATATATATATATATACATATATATTATATATATATATATATATATATATAGTAGATATTGAAAGGTATCTTTGTGACTTGACTATGAACCAGTCTAAAGAGAAGTTATTCAAGGTTTTAAAGTTTAGCCACAGCTATAAACAATATTATTATTGCAGCAACAGATTGCAGTGTGCTCCACAAACTAAGGCTACTGTCATCAGTTAACGAAAAGAACCTGCAAGGTGATAAATCCATGATTGAATTTGAGTAGAATCATAAAATTAGAGGACTAAGAATAATATTACTATTTCTATTATTTCAAGAGAGACGAAAAATGTTTTTTTTATCAAGGAGTGCATCTTTAAAACGGTTATGCAAACAAACTGTGTAACATTAAATTGCTCCAAGATGTTGGGATAGTTGTTAAAATTTGGAAAATACAATATATAGTATGTATTAAATAAATTTACTGGAAGATAAGAGTGCATGGCCTGCGAGACGAGATAAATTATAAAAGAACGGATATACAACGGCTGAACAAAGGTAATTGTTTGACAAAAATTGCATATGTGAAAAATCAAGCAAAAAAGTAGAATAACATTACTAAATAAAAAAATCTTTGTCTTGATTTTGGTTGGTAAATTTTTGCGGCAGTTACATGCTATAGTCAATATCCAATATCGACGGCTCCGACAAATGAGTATTAGAAGAGAAGAATGTGTGCATTTCAGACCAATATTTCAAAAACTGAAGGACTAGTTCGCGTATATACATACGGGCATGGCTGAACGAGGTTCAAAATAAAGAATGAATACATTTTTTAAGCCACATCTCCTATTTGTGAGCCTAATTTTATTAATATTACACTAAAAAAAAAAATTAATTAAACCTTGCATGAAGTTGAACTCAAATATTTTGCAATATGCGCTTAAAAATACACATTTATTTTTCACATTAGAAATTTCAAAAATTATAAAATACATTTAACTTTTCGTTATTATAAATTAAATATTACATTTGTGTGAAATACATACTTACTTATATGCATATCCTTGCACTTCTTAATTGGTTTTTATATGTATTATGAAAAATGTAAGTATGTATATCACGACATTGAAAAGTTTATAGCCCAACCTTTTAAAGAAATGTTTTAAAGAGATTATCTTATCATATCGATTGATTAAAGGAGCATAAAAAACTACGAGTATGTACCTATGTTTGATTGCAACAAAATGCTGAAAAATATAGTACTGCTTAATTTCGTAATATAAACAATAACATATTGAGTACATTATTTTAAAATAATTGTTTGCACGAGCAAAGAGCAACAACTTTCTGTTTTGATTTGTTTCTACACACACGTACATTCCTGCTTAGTTCTACACTGTGACGACTACTATTGGGGTCAAGGTCGTTGTCAATAGCGGCCGATGCATGCTCTTAGCGAAGCGAGAAAATCTCTTTTATAATGACATGTACATAAGTACTTTGTAATATTATACATTTTACGCATGTTTCACTTCAACCACCCCACACTATCCAGTCCAATTGGTAATGAAAAAACCAATAATGATCACTGTTCACTTTAGTGGGACAATGTCAAACCAAAAGAGGTTAAAAGGAGTGTTGTATTGTCAAAATGCTAAGCGTTTTTCACTCGAGACACCAGTACAAAAACAAAAATTAAAGTTTTGCTCAAGTTGCAAATTCACCTACGTTCACTTACCATGATGATTAAATGTAGCTTTTGTGATTTGCGTTTAGTTTGAGTAATATTTTAGCAGTGTTTATGTACGCCTTTGTAATTTCGGCTGCACGGTCAGTGGTGTGCTCAGCTGTTGCTTCTCGATTCTGGGGAATTGTTTTATGATTCCGACGAACAAATTCCTATTTACTATAGTCACGCAAATTTTCCGCTTCTGGCGAGAATCGGTACCAAATTGGTTAAACCGAACACTAGAGGCACTTGCGCTCAAGGCGAATGTTTGAAAATGACTAAAACTTTGTATACCTGCACACCACTCTTGTAAGAAAATACACGACCTTATGCGTTAAATTATTTATTTACGGCGCACGAGCGAATTTCGTTTATTTTCAGCCCACGCGAATGAAGATAATTTGCAGTGTTTAAGGAAGTCGTGTCGGAAACAATAAATTTTTTTCGTTTTTAAAAATAGTTGAGAAATTAGCAAAATTAAAATGAAAATGGAAAAGAAATATGTTCAATGACATTACAATCGTTGCCATTTATGTTGTTAAGTAAAATAGTTAAGTGTTTATATATATTTACAAAAGATATAATGGAACAAAATTTAGCCGCGGGAAATTTATAGTTTTTAAGAAATTTTGAATTAAAAAATTCAGCAATTAAAGTGTAAAATTTTTCGACTTATAATAAATTCTACACATTGTTTTCTTATTAAGTTTAAAATCTATATTATTTCATTTTATATTAAAACTTTACTAAATTAATTTAATACAAATGTTTCACTGTTCAAAACGCAATCATGCCAATCAGCTAAATATTTTTAGATGTCTGCATTTTTTCTAATGTGGCATTTTGAAATTCCCAAACCGGAAATAGTTATAGGAAGGCAAATTTTTAGGCACACAAAAATTTAAAAGCCTAAAAACACAACAATAAATAAACACAAAATGAGCGGGATCCTTTAAATTTTCATAAAAAATAATACCACAATTTATAAATAAACTCTAATTACGGCAATAAGTATATAAAAATAAAGCTTCAATAATCGAAATGCAACTCTGTCACACAGCTGATTAACGATAAAACTCTAACGGGGCATCTCGACAGGATAAAATCTATGTCTTACTAACTGTATTGGCGTGCCTATTGCCTGTGGAGACTTCACGTTGCTTATTGCTTACAATATATGGAATATTAATTAGTTTGCCATATATTGTAAACATTAAGCTGTCACTTCAGCAGTTTGACGGCGCAGTTTTCATTTCTATGAAAATTTCAAAGACGCAACATATCCGAATTGCACATATGCCGACGACATTTTCATTTCGGTAATATGAAATTTAGAAGATCATTGTCACAATTATTATATAGTAGTCCAAAAATATGAATTCTCATTTTTCCAGAAATAAGTTTGTGAAAAAAAGGATCTTCCTCCTTTTTTCTTATCTTATTTTTCCCAGAAATACATTTGTAAAATTTTTTTTTCCTCATAAAAGCTACATCAGCTACCTACCTGTATTTTGCGATGTGATAAAATAAATTTTTCAAGAGCTCAAAGCATGCGCTACATCAGCTCGAACCTACCTACCCTACGCCTTTGCGCAAATTATTATGTTATGATAACAAATGCCCACATACAGATTATTTGACAGTTAGTAAGACATAGATTTTATCCTGTCGAGAGCCCCGTAATAAAATCCGATATATTTGGCTGAGCATTGTGCATTTTCCAACCGGAAATAGTAATATGCAGTTATTTGTATGCTCAAACTAATAACTTATAAAAATATAAAAATTAGTGAAATTCGTTGATAAGGTGGTTTATAGAATCTGAGATTGTGTGTGGATAAAATGAATTACTAATTTATAAACAATACAATGGCTTTTCAAACTGGTTAGATATGTATTTTATTAAAACATAACTAATAATATTTGTTACAACTAGACAAAATATAAAACAAAATTTTGTACATGTTCATTATATCAACTAAAATAATATACAAACGCTTGTATTTGCTTTGATTCGCCCACAGATACTACTAAAATAGGCACAGGGTACTTTTGCAAGTTGTAGATATTTGTTATTTCTGCATGTGTAGGGAATGGCTCATGTACCCCTAGTATCAGTAAACGGAAAGTAGGTGGCTTTGGAGATCGCTTTTTGAATCCATTATTATGCAGGTACAAATCGAAAGTTATGTGTAAACTGCGCACCTCCTCCTCTGCGTTTATAGTGGCATCACCCATTTGAACTATGTCGAATTTTGCAAATGTGGCTTGAAATTGTTTATATTCCGGTTCATCTTTGAGACAATCCAGAAAACTTTTTTGTCTAGATGCTACCTCTAGACATCTTCGTTTCGTCTTTGTTAGATTTTTTGATTCGTCAGTTGTGTTTTTCCGTTTACCAGTAGATATGACCTTCCCATTGAAATTTATGGATGATGAATCTGCTTCGCTTAATTGTTGTTGTTCGTGTACCGGTGGTTTGGTTATGTATTCCTTAATTTGTTTCATTTCCTTTTTTACTTTTACAAAATATGGAGACTTCTTTACATTTTCGGATATCGCACGATTATTAATAACATTTAATGCCAGTGCCCAAGCACAGTCCTCTTCGGTTGGTTCGATGTTGTCGTAATAAGGAATATTTTGATGTCTCACTAAAATGTAGCCAATGCGCGTCAGATGTGCATATACAAGATATTCATTGCATTTAGGGGTAGCTGTCTCCCCCAAGAGTAACAAATAAGCTTGTTCAATTGACATTATCATGGAATGATATTCTAATTGCAAACGATTCTAAAAGGACATAAAATTATTAACTACAGTTTTTTAATCATAGTTTAAGAATCTTACCATTTCTAAGAGAAATAGTGCCTCGTAATATTCCAAATATAGGCGACCGCCATGACTATAACCAAAATTACCAAATTTGCCATCTTTACGTAGCACGTGCACTGCTTTTTTGTCCGGGTCCCAAGTAGCCACCGTTCGTCCGCCCAAGCGGTCAGTGCGTGGCAAGGAAAGTTGATTCCGTAAATCATCTAAAGTTAATATAATAGCATTATGAATAGAACTTCTAGCAATTGGAATTATTTCAACATACCATAAAGTTTATTTAGCTCTAGTGTTTCCTCTACTGTGCCCTCGGGAACTGTTCGTTTAAGTCCTGATTGAACATGTTTATCAACTTTAGCTGTAGACATTTTATGCATTTAATATATTTCCTCAATTTTTTATTTATATATTAAAATTGGAAAAATTTATTAATTCATGAAAGTTAGTAAACAAAACAAAATTGATAAATGAGAGGTAGGTTGAATCGCGATGCTGCCATATTTTAAACAGAAAAATTATTAATATTATATAAAATTCTCAGTGAAATGCAAAAATTAAGCATATTAATATATTAATAAAATTAATATTATTGTCCACCTGTCAAACCCTTCTTAAACAAAGCAAAAACTATTAAATTTTGTAAATTTGACTACCTTTGCATATAACAAAGATTTCAACAAAAAGTATTGATCTTTATTTCTTAAGTAAATATTTGAATTAATTTTTTTAATTCTGAAATTAAACCCAGCGCAATTTTTTGAATCGAGAAATAACATTTTGTACTGAAGTTTTCAAGTACGGTACGTGAAATAATACACGTTCTCTGAAATACGTTCTCTGTTCACGCTTCTGTATGAAATAGTTGGCAATGCTAAAGTCGTCAAGTGTGCGTTGCCAATCGACTATTAGACTTTATTTGAAATCAGCTGTGGAAAGTAAACAAATAATTGAAACAATATCCGGCTGTTATTTTTAATAATGTTCAAAGTTAACGACGAGCTAAACTAATACATCACGATACTCAAAAAGAAATATTTAATTTCTCTCTTATTTGTGAACTTGAAAATTATAAAATATTATTTATTATACGCATTTTGTGTTAAGCATGAAAATACTTACTGTGTAGTATGTGTAATGTGTAATACGTAAAATCAACTTTTCCTCGTGCCTCTGCTATCAAGATTCACTGATACGTTTTAGTCCCTGAAAGTAAAAAGTAAAAATTGATCCTTCTAGAAAACTTACGGAGTGTGCAGCGAATAAATCAACCAAGCCCGCCGAATGTATAATACTTCCAACATTTATTTCGATTCGTTGTTTGATTTGTAAAATTGAATTCATAATTTTTCATTTTTACAAAACGTTTTACATGCGAAAATTCTTAACAATTACAATTTTAAAATAGTGTAAACAATTTTCGTTAGTAAATTAGATTAGGGTGATTTCGGTAGATATAATTTTGTTAAAGCTACTCACTATTTGGAACTTAAGTTCTTCGTAATTGCTTTTGTAAGCGAGACAAAAACAGCAAAGATGCTTGCTCCATGGCGCTTTGAAAGATATTGGAAAAGTCTGTTCCAAAATACAAATACTTGCAACTACTCGGTTAACTGCGTTGCTGGCAGGTGCCGCCCGTCCGTATTTATAATCTGTATGATACTACCAAAATATAATTCTTCCGGAGGATGGTGTTGTTGTTTTTGTTAATATTAAATCACGTATTTCGTCGTCGTCTAAGTCGTTACTAAATGCGCGTATAATTACAGAATAAATACAACATGATTAGCTTACAACACTTGTGTTGTTGTGGGAAGAATTGGTGATTTTATATGACGCACAACAGAAGCATAAAGAAAATGCAAGTGTAAAATGATTGAAAAGAAAAAGACTGTGATTGCAATGTTTTAGAAACAATAAATAAGTTTGAAACAAAGTTAAAAATTTAGTAGCGATTTACGTTTTAATTTTCGTAAAATTTACTCTTATGCACTAACACTATGTTAGATTTTTATTGGTTATGTTTTTCATTTTCTTTTTTTGGAAAAGTGACATCAATAATAAATTAAAAGTTGACAGTGTCTTAAGAGTTAATTGTTTTTGTTTACAGCTAATTAAACGAATACAACAAAAACGCAGTACACGTTCAGACATGAATATACAAGATACAGGTTGAATGTTGTTGACAATGACAACCAATAACAAAAATTGGTTAATTCGGTCGGGTTACGGTTTTGATAAGCGCCATTTTGTCCACTTCATGTGCTGCTAAGTTTTTACTTTTGTTTTAGGTTTTCGTTTATGAAACGAAATTGTTAAAGTTTTGCTGATATTTCTGTACTTGGCGCGTATGCATGTTTGTGTGTATATATGCATGCGTTATCAGACACATCACACAGTGCTCAGTAATGATAATCCAAGTTAGGTGACATTAGGATGCAGTTGTATTGGAGGAGACAGACACGTTGAAATGGGCGTGCACGACGACGTTTTCAGGCAAAAGGCGCAACAAGTAATTGATGCTCTCTTATGGTCTACGAAAAAATAAACAAAAATGTGAAAAATAACAAATACGAAATTTTAAAAATTTATTAAAAGTTTTTTGTGGCATTAGTGAAAAAAATCAAAAACATTATTGCATTAAAGAAAGTTTATGTATTAGTGTTGCAAATTATTTAGTTTAAATTAATTAAGCTAAAATACGACATATGTATGACGAAAATTTGCTTTGGCTAAATTAATAAAAGAAGTGAATCACAAAAACAAAGCGTACAGTTTCAGTGCAAAAGCTGCTTAAAATACAAAACATTAAGTGCTAGCAGTTGAAAAAGGGTTTTGAACACAAATATATTAAAATTTATCACGTAAAAAACTATGTGAAATATGTAATTTATGTGGGACAATGTTTACTACTAGACAAAATAACAGATATCAGTATAAACATTTTCAATTAAACCATATACGTATATGTATATCATTTTGGATATTGTTAAAAAATGGAGCATATTTCACAATGTAAAAATTGAACTTACGAAGTATACCTATACGATATTACGGACAAGAAAACAAGCATACAATAAAAAAGGTAGAAAATATAAAAATAAGATAAGAGAAATGCTATTTGCACCAGCTTCTTATAAAAAAAAAAATTTAAATGGTGAAAATATTTATTTTAGTTTCCGATAAAAACAAGTAAAATATTGAAACAATACGCTTTCCAAAAATAGTAAGATAGGTTAAAAATATTTAATTTGGTTTTGGATAAAAAATGTAAGTTATTAGAAATTTTGTGTTTTAATTAAAAAAATTAAGACTGGAACACAAGTGTGTGTTATAAAAAAAATGTTTGACAAGAAAAAAGTAAACAAGAATATTGTAAACAGATTAAAGCAAAGAAGTTTTTCAAAATAACGCTGACCATAATTAATTGTCGATTTCAGACCCGTTCAACTTTCCTAGAAACGCAATTGACCGCCCGCTTTCTCAAGCCCTAATTTATTTTATATTTACATATTTTCAATAAATGCAAGTTGTTTTTGTTGTATTTTCTGTTTTATTTTCACTTAAAGCCAATGGGTATTTTGCAGTAAATCTGTTGGTTATATTTTTTAAAAACAATATGTTATGTAAAATCATTATTTTATAGACATTTTTAATGTACGTTTACATTTAAAATCAATATACAGCGTATGTTATTTAAAGTTTATGAAAAAAATATCACTTACAAAGTTAACTTTTAATGTAAAATAGTTTTGCATTTTTTAATATTTTTAATTTTTGTTTGTTATAAACTCCTGTTAAGATAATATATTCGTGTTTTTTCTTTAATATTATAGTTTAATAATAATTTTTTTTTATTTAACTTAAGGTTTGTATTGTTTTTTTTTGTTTTTGTATTGTTAGCAGAAAATTCATTGAATTTATGCAAATATTTCTAGCTTACTCCGCCTACATGTGGAGGTTTCCTTTGTTCTTGACAAACGGACGGCATACATATTTACAAGAAATTAAGAAATAAAAAATATTGAAAAATGACAACGGACAGTGGGAAAAACTGGACGTAATGTTATTAACTATTTAAAAAAATTTAGAACTAACTTATGAGTGCTTTGTTGTTGTCGTATTTTTTACTTAATTTTTTTTTATTAGATTTTTTAATTTTTTTGTTAATTTTTTTAATTTAATTATTTTTCCATTAATTTATAATAATTAATTAGCATTTTATAGCAATTCATTTTGAATGTATTCGGTTAATACGAACCACCTACTAATCACAAGGCAAATAGATTGTATCTCGGTTAGTTTGGCTTCCAGTCGCTCGAATTATCAAATATGTTTGTATGTTTGTATTAAGTGTCATGGTTTCGCACACAAGCTGGCATACAAGCATATATTTTCCATTATCGTATTTTTAATGACGAAACAACAACTAAAATAAAAAAAGAGCAGTAACTTGGTTTTCTGTTAAATAGAGAGATTACAGCAACGTCAAGCGCTACACAGCGCAATTGTCAAAATCAGCTGCTATGCTGACGTCACATTAGCTCACAAGTTTTTCGAAATTTCTTTACAAGAATGTAATCTCCTAGGCTACCAAAGTTCACTGTTAGTTTGTAATAAACGTTACTAAGAAATTTTGTTATTAAAAAATTACTTTTGAAAAGAGAAAAAACGTATTGAAATTAGCGAGATACTGTTACCAGATAAGCACTTCGTTTGTTATATTTGTAGCGAAAGGGGAGGCAAAGAATCCTTAGATGCGTTACTTTTCATAAAGAAAGTTGAATGTATAGTTTATATACGAGTATCCTCTTAAGTAGATATTCGCAGCAGTGATGTAAGTGTCTAGTTTGACTGAGCGTAAAATGTGCAGAGTTTCAATTGTTTATGGGCTGAGAATGTGCTGAATTTGTAACTACTACTATGAGATCTTCTATCTATTTCTTTTTTGAAAATGTGCTAATTGATTATTGCGACTACATTATCAGAGCTTCGAACCAATTTCGGGTATAAGGTTCATTTGAGAAGGCATTAGCCCTAACATAACTCTCTACTCTTGTAAGGTTGAAGGGTTTCTCTGAAATTTAGATTGAGTCAGCATATATTATTGGTCGCATATTTTTGAAAGCTGCTAAGAGTATGCTGAAGAGATTTCGCTGTAAATTAGAGTTGAGGAACTGTAATCATCTGTTGCTAACTTTTTTAGTATTTTCTATAATTAAGTGGTTTAAAAACCAAGACACATTTGTCGTAATTTTAGCTGATTTGTCGAGAATATCTGAATAAACTAGGAAAGCTGAATATGAAACTTTGCTAATGAAGAGAGTGATGTTAAGTACATATATATAGTTACTAATATCGAAAATTAAGTAAAGTAGTTGCTAGAAGTTAGTATAATTATATCGTATAAAGTCTTACAAATCGGTTTACTGTGCTCAACATACACCCTAAGAAAGGACTCTGGCTTTTAACATTGCTTTCGTTATGTGATAATACACCACTGGTTTGGGTTTATCTAACGTCTTACCTCTGTTCGAGTAATCTCTACTTTTCTACATGGGTGTATAAAGCCTTTGGTGACCTAAAAATCTATATTTTTTAGTGGGGTTCTGAAAAAATTTCGTGAGAGAGTCGCTCCACACATGCTGAGCTATGCAACTGCAGGATTGTATTGAAGAAGCGGGAATTAAGCTATCAGGTCTAAAATCTAAGCGCGGCAGAGCACTCGCTGTGTGGCAAGCGCCATATAATTCTTACTTATAGCTTATCAACTAACTATATTAACTAATAAAAAAATATATGAAGTTGTATGGTTATGTATAACATATAGTATAGTATGTATACTACATATGTATGTATGTATGGAAGCACGGCGAGATGGTTATGGCAACAACAAGACACTAATGAGAAACAGTTAGAATTTAAAATGCATTTTATGAAGCAGTTTTATTAGAAGAAGGGAAAGCGGGAGAGAGAGAGATACAGAGATACAGTGAGCGAGACAAGTTAACTGCTGATTGGTCGATAATATGGTGACACACGAATGTATACGATTGATTGTTTACGGTTTCAACATATTTATGTACATTGGGTGAACTGATTGGCGCAAACATTTCGATATTGATTTTGATTGAGATCGCAACTTCACTGATACACGGGTATACGAGTTAAGTGTTTATTGGAGTGTATATTTGAGTGTGTGACTGTGTGTGTGTGTGATGCTTACTTTTTCATCAGCGAACGAACTTTTTTAATTGTTCGATTCAGAATGGTTTTATTGTTTGCATTGTTGTTGTTGCTGCTGTTGCTGTGCGTGTTGTTTCCCGGCGCATTGCTACTCAGCGAAGTTGACGACGTTTTGCCACTATTCTGACTGCCGCGATGTGTATGCGCCGACGCGCGCACCTGCGATCTGAACATGCTGCCGCATGAGGTATTGCTGCTGCGCAACGATTGTGTGTCATCCGTCGAGCTGACACCCTCCGGGCTGCGACGCGTTACCGGCAGCATACCGCCGGCGTGCGTCTTCCGTAAGCCGACATCGGCCGGTTCGGGCGTGGTTGCGGCGCTGGATGTGCACACGCTATCGCCGCGTTGCGTTAACGGTTGTGTGCGTGTGCCGCGTTTGAGATCGGGCGTTGCGGGTGTGGCAAGATTCTGCATACTTTGCGTACCTTCCATGAGCGCCGGCTGTGGTTGCGACGCCACCACCAACGCCAACGTCTTGTCATCGAGAAAATGATCGAGCGAACGCGATTTACGGTGCTGCGCATTCGTTGGTATATTGGCGCTCTTCTCACGTCTAGCGACCGTTTGTGGCGGCGCTTCACTGGCAAACTCGGACAGCGAACCAACCGATGAGGCATAACCGTTGCCCGGTTGTAATGTGCTTGTCGAACTGGCGTTGGTCAGCGCTGTGCTGCCGGCCGTAACACGTGCCGCCATATCGGCAATGCGATCGTTGGAGCCCAAACCGTCGGTGGTGTCTAGCAATTCATCAACACTATGACTGCGATAATTTGTGACAGCACCGGCTGACGCACTATTCTTATTGCCATTGTTAATGCCACTGGCCGAGCTGCGCCGGGGCGGCCGGTAGCTAGCCGGTGACATATTTTGCATGGAGCCACCCATGAGTGGCGTCTTCGGCTGCGCCATCGTCTGTTGTGTGCGGTACGGCGTGATTAGGTTGCGCTTCGAACCACGCCCGAACATGCTCAGTTGACCGTTGCTGCCGAGCGGTCCGCAGCTGCCCCCGATCCGTTGTCTGGCCGGTGAAGGGGATTGCCGGTATCTATTTGCCTGGTGATTAGCTGCTAGTTTGTGATTAGTATTAATTAAATATGAACGTTCATTAAAATTTGAATTTTTCATTTAGAGTTTTCAGAATTTTTAGTAGTACGAAAGTACTAACATAAATAACTAAATTAACTTTTTACGTCTTACTAAAGCTAACCTACACTTTAAGTAGTGTGTTTCGAACGCGCGAAAGAAATTTTGAAAACTTTTTGTGTTAGTAACTATTTGTAAGAGTAACTAAATCTTTTGATAAATATCAAACAGTAAGGAGCAAGTTCGAGTTAGGAAAAGAGGTGTTCGGTTTTGGGATTTTTGTGGAGAATATTGATTTTTTTTTAGTTTTGCTTCGTGCTTCCTCACTAAGTGCTAGGCTAAATTTAATATCTACTAATAAATATATATATAAGAATAAATATATATATATATATATATGTATATGTATATAGAGGCTTGTATATATTCGAAGAGTTTGCGTTCGCATAATCACTATCCTCATTAACATTCATCAATCTTATTTTGCAGATCATTTTTTCATGATAATTGCTTTTGTTTTTGTTTTCCTCATTCTTTTTTCATCTTTTTTTTTTCGTCATAATCATAATATCTCTATGACCTCATATTGCGGGGCAATCCAGGCGACTCATTTGCTCGGCTTATTTTTTTCTTTCGGCTTTTCAACGCTGGATCGCCCCGTTCTATGTATTCGTATTTGTTGTATTTGTAGTTGTCGTATTTTGTTGTGCCCCACCTTGTCCGCTGCTATTCGCCGCACCACCGGCACCGCTGACACATACAACGCCACTGCCACCGCCGCCGACGCTGCCGCCGCCCACGCTTTGCTGATAGTCGGAGTCATTGCTGTGCATTCTTTGGTAGGTCACCGAGCCCGGTGTGCTGGGTATGCCCACAAGGCGATCCAAATTCTTCTCACCACGCATGAATCTGTCGTGTGTGTGGAAGGAAAGAAAAAGGAAAATGCTTTTTAGTCAAGTTGGCAACGCAATAAAAATTAATTTGTGTTTTCTGTGCAAAAGTTTCGGTTAAAGTGATTTTGGTTTAAATACAGTAAAAAAAAAATAAAAAATATAAATGTATGAAATCATAATATTGCGTTGAACGACAGGAAGCCACAAAGTGGAAGCGGCAGGATGTTGTTAATAAAAATATAAATAAGAAAAAAAAAATATATATAAAATGTTTTCCAACTTTTGCTTATGAAATTTTGTGAGTGTGTTGTATGTGTGTACATTAAAGAGTTGCCTTAGTACTGAGAGTAGAAAAGAAGTTTTTTGAGTAAAGAATTGCTCCAATTCGTAACATCTCCGATATTTCGCGATTGTGTCGAATCTTTTCTAGGTATTTTAGCATGCAAGTAGTAACAGACAAATTTTGCATCTTCATTAATTCCTTAACGCGAGTTCATGAGTTAAAAAATTATATATTCCATTTAAATATGTGAGTTGAAGATATTTTTTTAAAGGGATTATAGTAAATTTTATAGCAAATGAAAGTGCAATAATGCGTCGCAAACACTTTGCCACTGCGAAATGTATGATGTGGCGAAAAGAAATTTGGCGAAAGTATAAGTAAAAATATACTTGAAAAATGTATGTATACCTTTCAGGCAAAAGCCGGTGATAATTTTCAGTCACAAGTGCATTAATCCGCTTAACATTGGAAACTTATAACGATATCCATCTGGCATGGCGGTAAAATGATTTTCGAAATCACAAGAAAATTTGTAGAAAAAATATTGAAAAATTGGCAAAAAAATTTTTTTATACTCATTTCTATTTTTCATTGCAAGCAAATTTGGTTAGGTTATAATATTTGGAGCATAAATATCAGAATTACTATAATAAAATGTACTTAGTGCTGCCATATTAGTGGAAATTGAAATTTACTAAAGTAGATATGTATGTGCGAAGGGTGCTCAAAGGTAGACGGAATGAGCAAAACATTTTAAAAGTTGCGATATCGACCGACCTCTTTACCATTAGCATTGAAATTTTCTCAGGAAGACCCAATTAGACTGAAGTGAAATAAAGTTGAAACGGCTGGTGGACCTTGAAATATGTTGGTGTGGTATGCGTAGCTTGAGACTTCTCCTATTCACTGAGCGGGACAGATGAAATTTAGAAATCTATGTATTTACCATGATCTTTTGTGAGCCTGTCTCTTATACACATCTAGATGTGTATAAGAGACAGGTTCATATATATGCATTTTTAGTAAGAAATGAAGATTTTTTTCTCACCGATAAATATTTTTTTATAAACAATTTAAGACCGAAGTTGTGGTCAAAAATCGATTTTTCTTTTAGATACCGCCATTTTCTCAAAAATAATTTTATTTTGCTTATTCTTTCGATTTGCTTTACTAGATTTAACATTACTTTCACGAAATCGGTTTGGTTTTTTTAATTTCAGTGAATCCAGTTCAGAGATATATTGGTCATCGCAGAACGTCTTTTGTGAGAGAAACTCTCGGAGATCAGCTCTAGTTCCGTTCCAAGTAAATGGTTTAATAGTAAGTCCAGTTAAAAGATACCATATGTGTACAAGTTTTTGGATCAATAATTTTAAAAGTTTTCTCAGAAAAAGTTCTTTAAAATTCCCTTTTTTCGGCCTTCCAACTGTATATAACCCCTTAATGATGCCATTACTCTTTTAGTATGTCCACAATTATATCAAAATTATTTGTGTCTTAAAGAATGCTTTTCTGCAAGGCTGGTGAGTTTTGTCCTTGCTAAATTTTGCTGCGATTTTTTTTTTTTACTTTACTAGCATTTTCACAACACTTATCTATATATATTATTATTATATATTAATAACCCTTGTAATTAATTTCTTAAACGAAGCCTAGCTTTAGCGTTGAAATGAGATCTTAACTAATATTTAAGAAACCACGCCCTATCAACTTGAATCGCTTCATTCCGTGAACCTTCAACCCTTCCGATGGAGCAATGAACACTCACTTCACGTTCAGTAATAACTTACCTCTCTAGTTTATCGATGCAGGCATCCTGGTAGTCGTGTATCCACGTGACGCCGTTGAAATGGCAAACGCTGCGCATGTCTTCTGGCAAGCGATCGGTCTCTGGCCATATAAATTGCTGATCAATTATAGGAATAATATTACAATTTGATTTCAACGCGGCGACGATTTCCTATAAGTTAAATTGAAGCATGACAAAACGGTGCTAACTACTTAAAACTTGCGAAGGTACTTACGCGATGCACCCAATCCTTGCCATCGTCGTCATCCACACAGCGTTGCAACGCATTTGGTGTTAATACTAAAACGAAATTCTTCGCTTGTCGAATACTGTTTAGCAGTCCATTATCGAATTTGCCCGCTTCCAGGCGCTCAACATCGATGAACACCGAGAAACCGCGCAACTGCAAGTGAACCTATTGTACCAGATGAGTAGAAAAATATTAATAAGCTTGGGTTCGCAAACTATGTGTAGCATTGGAAACCTACCTTCAATAAACTGGCCAACTGCGAGCCATTCGAACGCCGATAGCTGACAAAGACATCCAAGGTCTTTGCCATATTCTCCTCCGACGAGCTGGGTAATGAGTTTTCTAGGTTTTTTACGGCATTCAGTATACGCAGCCGATGTATGGAGTTCTTGATGCCACACTCAGCAATGAGCATATCCTCATTCAGCTGTGGCAGCGAGTTCCGATCTATGCCGGCATTCAGCATTGCATATGTGTAGGTACAGTACTCTGCACCGATTTCGGCCAAGAAATGATGCATCTTTGCCGTATCTTTCGATGAGTAGTCGGCCATGCGTTTGAGATTTTGCAGCTCGCGTTCAAAACGTTTCAACAGTATGCCATTCGCGATGCCAATATCATCGCGTAGATTTTCCTCATTCAGCTTCAGCAATAGATCACCATCAACTTGAGACTCCTCGAACTGTTTCACAAACTGACCGAAATTAATTTGTTTTACCCATTCTTGCACGTCTTCGACCGACCACAATGGTACCTGTTGCGAGAGTTTATGTGGCACAGTTTCACCGATGAGACGAAGCGCTTGCGCGGCGAATTTAGATGCGATCGCATTCGGGCAACTCGCTACAGTCTTAAGGGCTTCGATCGCGCCAATATCGCGAAAGATTTCTGTATTGCCTTGTTCACGCTTAATGCCCGCCTCCATGCAGAAATGGAAGGCGGCGAGATTGCGTGCCTCTTCACGGTTCGAACTCAATACTGGCACCAAACGTTCTAGCCAATGCTTGCTTTGTCCGTGGGCATGCGCTAAATTGGAGCGCGCAAATTCGGAGGGATCGTGTGTGGTGACGAAGGGTTCCACCAAATCGAGACAACCTGATTTAAGCACTTCAGCTTCGATCTCTTTGTTCGCCACGAGTACGGCAATTGCAAGGCAGGCGTAATATTTTATATTATCATCGTCATGGAAGGCCAATGGAAATAACCACATGGGTACTTTGCGAAAGATCATAGCTTCTTGATTTTCAGCACCACCATAAAGTGACAAATTGGCTAAGGCACTAGCGCAATGACGCAAAGTCTCCACGTCATTTGTACGACATTCGAAGAGCACAGCATCGAGACCACCCAACTTGATGACATCCGAGCACGTACCCTCCGAGTGTTTGAATAGATGCTCCAGTATGCCGGTACCCACACGCGAATGTTCGGTGTTTGGTTCCTTTGTGCACATACAGGCCACATTCACCACTTTGTCGAGACCATTGTCCACGACGTGTGTACGATTTTCTGTAGTTAAGCATTGCTCCAACAATTTGGCCGAGGAGAACTTGATTTTCATATCACCCTGTACACAATTCTTCATGAGCAAATCTAAACCGCCACTATTGCGCAATGAGTTGCATAGACTGTAGCCGAGCTCATGACCGTGTGTGGGCACAGCCCAAGCGCGTTGCATAACCTCATTGATTTTCTCCAAATACAACGATTTCTCTTGCGCTGCTTTCGAGTCCTCCAGCGTATTTACGAATGACGTCAGTACGCGGGAATATTTAGCGATAGCCTGTTCGATCTCTCGTTGTCCGCTGCCGGATGTTAGTGCCTTGAGATCGTCCAATTTTAGGTCGTGCAGTTTGATGAGCGCCCCGTTGGTGGCGGACATTTGTGAGGAGGACGAGATCATGCTGCTGCCCGAGCTGGAGACACCCTTATGGGTCATAGTGTAATTCGCTTGCGAAGCGGATGACATATGCTTCTCTTGGCTGATGATGCCGTTCGAGGTCATCGTCTGTGATTGTTGCGACTGTGAGATGGCTTTCTTGTCGGCGGAGAAGGTGTCACTTTGCACTTTAATACTGGCGGCGGCCACATTGTTGCTAGCCTGTTGAGTTATATCGCCAGTGCGTAGCGAGAGGGCTTCCTGAAATATTGGAAAATTTATAGTGTTTAGTTAGGATTTATGTCTTATCATCCTTAGATCAGTGGTATTAAAACTGTTGATAGCTTGTAGTAAGGAAATGACGTAGAGAGATAGCGTTTGGGGCATAACATATAGTTTGCTTTATCACACATTAATAAAAAAATAGTGGATGCATATAAACAGCTTGGACGGATATATAGACATATAGGTGACAACGTTCAAAATATTTCAATTCTTCATGCACTTCTAGTTGTTCTCCTTTGCATTAATCAACTCTATTATTTACAAATTTATTGAAGAAGATTGCAGACAATCTTAGTTGAGGTACAGTAAAGAAAAAAAATTGAATCCAGTCACTTTGGGAATAAACGACAGAGTATGATTTTATAATTATTTCCTGCTCTTTCTGGTTAGCCTACCATATCTGTATGACGGTTGGTCCCAGACAACTCCTCAATATCTAATGCCTTGCGAAAGACACCGCAATATAAATATAAACTTAGATTTATCTAGTAAGATATCACAGAAACTTTGTTCGCATTCGAATATCGATATTCGAAGAAAATGCCTCAGAAAAGTCCAAGAGACTGAAACTGACTGAGGTCTAATAGAAATTAGAATACTATTTCATTATTGTATATTATTCGTCCTTAGATAGATCCAAAAATAATGCATATTCTTCAAACAAATTAATATTGTTTAAATTCCATAACAGAAACGATACGAAAAATATATAAAATGGAAACGAAACGAATGGATATATTAGTAAGAAGAGAAGGCTAGATCTAGATGATCAAAAACGTGACTTGATAATACCGCAACTATAATATTTCAACTGTCGGTACAAATACTAAGAGATGTCGAGAATATCTAAATGAACTTGATATTAACAAAACAAAAGAAACACTTTAATGTAAATCCCTTCAAATTAAAAATAAATTTTCCGACGCGCAAAGCGCTGAGCTTGCAACTCGGTCGATGTGTGTGTACCTTGTTCTGTTCGACCTCGATGGGTATTTCGCGAATATTCTTCATGGCATTGCCACCTGTTGCAGCGCTGCTGAGATTCGGGTTGCTCGAGTATGTACCGGATGTGTTGTTGTTCGGGTGTTGTGTGCTTGTGTGGGTGGCGGCTGTGGTGTTATTGTTGTTTGCAGCCGATTGTTGTGACAATTGCTGTTGGTGTGTTTGTATGTGGGCGTGTGGTGGCAGTGGCGGCAGCGAAGCGATTTGTGGCGAGCTAAAATGCTGAAAGGGTGGACAAGAGTTCTTACGTACAGACCGAGAGGCGGTCGCGGCCGATGAGGACGACGACGACGAAGAAGAAGATGCGGCCGACATTCGCGCAGCAGAAGACGACGACGACGAGGATGAGGAAGAAGACGACGCAGCTGACGACTTTTGCGACGATGACGATGCAGATTGTGTGGATGCCAACGTGGACTGAGCGTGTGATTTCGTTGCACTGGTGGTGGCAGCTGCAGCGGACAGTGTTGACGACTTCGTTGTGGACACATTGTCGTTAATCGTGGCGACGGTGGGCCCCGGTGGGCCGTCGATTACTTGTATGGGCTGTGGTGGCGGCGAAAGTGGACAGGTGGGCGAAAAGCGGCTGATGGGCGTGCCGCCGTTGCTGTTTATTATAGGTGGTGGCGATAACGGCATCTCCACAATGGGGCTGGGCGAACGCGCGCGCACGAAGTCCGATTGGCCGCTCGAACGGTAGATGCCTTTACGTATGGGCCAAGGTGGTTGATGCGACATCTTCGCCGGTTGGTCGTTTGTGGGTTCACCGTTAGGGTTGGCACTAAGTTGGTTTCCTATTTTGTCTGCCCTTGTTTCGTTTCTCGCTTGTCAGTTTGTTCTTGTTGTTTCTTTAATTTTGTTAATTTTTGTTTTATTGAGTTTTTATTTGTTCAATTTGTATTTTTAGATTTTTCCTGTCGCTAATTGCTAGATAATGAAACAGTTGCAAATTGTTGGCTGAAAACACCTGCGCAATTTGCGAAACTCCACACGCCTCAACTGTGCGAGCGTCTTGCCCGTGGCACATCGACTGCGGGCGACTTTCAGCCAAGAAAAACATTCTAAACAATTTTCGCACAATTTTTCCTTTTCGTCAGAAAAAACACAACATTTAACACAAATCGAGTATGCACGTATGTTTGCTTGTATGTATGTACATATGTATTGTATATAACTAAAATAATTATTAGCTTATGAAGTGGACTTTTGTATAAATATATATACGTATATAATTATGTATGTATGTATGTATATGTCTGAAGCACTGTATTTTGGGGGGTACGCTTATGGCCCGCACATACGTCAACACCAGCGATTTATTGTTGTTGTAGCGGTAAAATATACATATGTTCGATTTATTTATATTTTTCAATATTGTATGCTTATGCATGCGTACAACAACTACCAACAGCTTCTATTAGCTACGCGTGCGCCACACACTCAACGACATATCGACGTGAGAAGTTAATGATTTGTATAGAGAAAGGAGTAAAAAGCATAACACGATCAAGTCGGCGGGCACATACATACATAGTTACATAGTGGGATTTTATTTACAATAAAAATTTCACATATTCAATACAGTTTAGCGCACAAGTGTAAACAACAACACAAAAGACGTGAAATGGAAAAGAAGAAAATCATATTTTATTGACAGCTTACGTATGGATAATTAACGGAGAACGCGTAACGTTTCATTTTGTTCTAGCTGTATATTGCTTATAAATGTTGTTTTTAAATATTCAAAAATTTCCAAAATACTTTGTTATTATTAGTGGTCTATATGGCGCCTTTTCCGCAAGTTTGTTATTAATTTATTTTTGTTAACTATTTTATTATTCACTTAAAAGTATTGGCAACTCAGTTTTTGCAATGAAATGTTAATTTTGAATTTCCCGACACTATTTCAATAAATTTTTTTATTTTAATATGAAGATATGCATATAAATATATTATTTTGATATATTTAATTCTCTTGAAATGTATATGCAAGTTTGAAAATATTTAGAAAATCGTTCGAAATTATAAGCTTTAATTCTCTGCGAATATGTTCATTTTAAATAGTTTCGTTAAGTTTGAAAACTTTGCTCAGAATTAAAATTTTTTATTCAAACGTTTATAAAAGGGTTAAAATCAAAGTTAAAAGCATTTTCGTTCAATTTGAAATTTTTCGTTATGTTTTCAAAACTATTAATAACCTTTATTAAAAACTTTTTATGCATTTATTTTAATAAACAAAACACAAAATTGAAAATTTTGAAAAAATTTGCCATATTTCGAAATAATAAATATGTTAATTTTGAATAGTTTCGTTAAGTTTTTAAACTTCGTTCAGATTTCAAAATTTTCGTTTCCTTATCATTAATAAGTGAGTGAAAAGAGTTAAAGTCGCTGTTACACGCATTTTCGTTCAGTTTCAAATACTTCTATAAACTTTAAGAATTTCGTTAAGTTTTAAAAAAATCTCATATTTAGAAATGTTGGTTCAATTTGAAAATTTTATCTATTTTATCTATAATATGAAGTACTTATAACGTATTATTTATAATAAAATGAAATATTAGATATTAATTTTTTAAACTTAGTAAGCTGTCTCTTATACACATCTAGATGTGTATAAGAGACAGCAAAAAGGTTGAAGGTAAGATTTCATTCAATATATTTCTTGAATTTAGAAAATGAAATACGCGAAATATTTTCCCATAATTTAAATATATATATATATTTAAATATATTTGTCACATTCCAATATCGAAATAAATAATTTTTCGTTAACGCCCCAAATAGTATTTAATTTAGTTTGAGTACTTAATACTTAAGAGTTTCGTTAAGTTTTGCAACGTTTCGTTGAGTTAACAAGTGTTGAAAATTTCATTTGCTAGACTTTGACCACAAAAAATATGTATTTAACTTCATTTGAGTACTTAAAAAGTGTCGTTAAGTTTTGAAATCTTTCGTTGAGTTATAAAATACTGAAAATCTTATTTGCTTATTTGCCAAAAATATAAAATTTTGAGATTGAGTTAGTAACTCGTTCAGTTTCAGTTTGTTCATTTGGTCTGAAAATTTTAAACATCCACTTAGTTTTTGAGCTCTCAGCGAGAACGTTTTTGTTTGAGTCAACGTCTATTTCAAAGTCAATAAAAGTTCAAAACTTAACGCAGTCATCATTAATAATAATCAATAGCTTTCATTATATTTGAAGTTTCAAATTTCGTTAAGTTTTCTTTTAATTGAAAAACTGAGCTATTTGATATGAATATATTATTTATAGGTTAAAATTCTTATAAGTAAATCTGCCTAAGGCGCAAGTTTCGTTCAGTTTTGTAAAAAATGAAAAAATTGCAGCTTGAATTTGAAGAAAATTTTCTTCACGCAACTGTAAGAAGCGGATCCCAACGATTGACATTTTTCTTGGAATTAAAAATATTTTCTTACAAATTTTGAAATTGAAAACTACATACTATTTGGCACTTGAAATTTTTTTCTGAACTTATGAACCTATAATCTCTAAAAACCAAAGTTTACAAAATCATGAATCTCGAATATATTATTTTTGTATGCTCGTTTCATCATTTAAATTTAAATGTATTAACATTTCTATTATTAATCTGAACATCCTTTCAATATTCACACGCGCTAATCAGCTTCCGTAGGGCGCTTCATTTGGTGATCACGGGCAAACGCTGCCAGCGAAGGTCAAATCTATTTTTCCCACACATATTTTCGACCCTTGTTGGTGCATTTCACTTTGACTTGGCATATAAATAAATAAGAATCGGAAGTATTCAAACCCATTTGTCGCACATACATATATTTAGATTTATATGATTATAAGAAGAAGAGCGATGAAATTGAAATTTTCACACGCATACGCGTTAAAACGAGTGAGTGAGTATTTTCTGCCCGTTTCGTATTCGAATTCTCGTTTAGCGCGCTCATCCAACGGAGGCCGCGTCAGACGGAAACAAAATTTGCACGGAAAACTACTCAACAACGAGCGACTCGATCGTTTAGCGGCTAGCGAAAGACTGAAAGTGTCGAATTGAAAAAGACATACGGGAATCATACCGTTAGGTGTTGATCTTGCCGATCGTGTACATTTGCACAGCCGAAGAATACAATAAAATAAAAGAAATATGTGTATAAATAAATGAAAATGAGCTTAAAATGAGATAAAATATATACAAATTTGAATAATTCTCAAGCGGTGAGCGCCACGCGGACAATGGGCAGCGCACGAGAGCGACATGGTGTGATGTTGAGCTGAGTAGCGGCCTCCTCAGGAACAAGTAGCTACCTTGGCTCGCGCCACCCAACAATTCTACATGAATGAATGCTACATATAACGGAGTTCCAACATTCTTCTTTTAGCCGTGCGTGTGCCTATGTGTGTGCGTTACTAAGCTTGACTGATTGGGTGTGTAAAAATATTTACATAAATGAATAAACTTGAACTTGACAAGTAAGTGTATAAATACGAGCGTACGATCGTACAGGGTTGTATTGTTGATCTTCATAGATATATACATATGTGTGTGTGTAGTGTTATTGGCAGGGGTAGTGATCTCGATTGCCAGATATGTGTTTATAAATGGAGAATATTTCAATATTTTATTATAATACATATGTATGTGGCAGATTGTTCAACAAAAGCAGCAGAATTGTGTGGATTTTTTACGTTCTGTTGATAGTTGACACTCATCTAATATACAATAATTCACAGCTTTTACAAGTTTTGTAATTAAAAGAATTTCTGCAATTGTTATTTTATTAAAGTATGCGCGCGCTATAAAAAGTTATGATGTCAATTCAATTAAAATTAACTTTTTTCATATTTCTTTGAGCCTTTTTTGCTCGCTGGCTGCTGCTTTGGCATTTCGCCAACTGCTAGCAACTAATTTCTTTTAGCTAATTTCTTGCCATTTTTGATTATATTTTTTATTTTTATTTTATTTTGTAATTTTTTTTTTATTTCATAAATAAACTTTTTTTAATTTCTTTATTTCGTTTTTAATTATCTGCTCACTTTTTCCAATTTATATATAATTTTTATGGAATTGTTTTATATATTTCTTTCACTTTTCAGTCGGTTGCGATTCTTCGCGCCTGATTGCCTAAAAGACACGACACCTTGGCGATGGCAGCGTTGAGTGCTGCATTATTTGCGCCAAACAATAAGAGTTGAACAAATTAGCTTATGACGTGTTAATAAGCTTTTCCAAGGTGGCAAGGAAATTTACTGTTTAGTTAAAAAAAAAAAAAAATTTTGAGTGACATTAAAAAATTAAGTACTTGCTATAGGTGACTTGAAGCGAAGAATTGTACCGCATATTTTAGTCAACAAATATTTTACTTAAAACTACTGTGTAGTGAAGCACATTCCTTGCGGGGTAGTTTGTAACTAGTTTATTTATAACTAAACAGGACTTGAAGTATTTCACTCAAAACTACCCGGTTGTCAAACTCCTTTCTTTCCGAGTAGTTGGTAAGTAGTTTATTTATAATTAATAATACCAATGCCAAAGCTTTTTGAGCTTAAGCTCTACGCTTTTTTCAAGAACTTGTATTTAGGAATATATAATATTATAAAAATATTTGAGAATGCCTTTTTGATTCGTTACTGCTACGTTTGCTGATGATAAAACGGTTTGTATAAAAAATTCGTTCGGGTAAAATGACTTAAATAAAGTTAATTTTTAACTTTCAATCATTTATTTGCATTGAATCGCTTAACGAATCGTATACAAATTGTCATATCCTAGCAAATTCTTCTCAACGCTATTCTACATCCTTCATTACAATTTAATTTGGATTCTAATTTTTCAGATAGTTCAAACGCTTTACTCTCAATTGCGCTTATAGCAATCAGTGAAGGTATTTCCTCTTTACAAAAGTGTATTGAGAGCTCGGAATTTTTCCTACTGGGCTTCTGTTGAAGCTACAGTGTACCTAAAACAAAATTAGTTGAATTGTTTTCTGCTGAAAGTATTCAACATATTGCATAATCCGTGCCGCTTTTGTTACTAAATTAAGCTGCTCTGTTTTATGGTATAAAAAAGAGATAAGATATTAATTCACGAAATTAATTATCAGACAGCAATCAACGCGGTAATCAAGCACATGAGCTGCATATGCAAATTTTTAATATTCTTTCAGCCAACCTCAACTAACATGGTTTTACTAACCAATTTTCTTACTATAATTTAATATGTTGAGCCCAAATGGATTTCTTCAAACCTTTGACATACTTTTTTTTAATATCTTTACGATATTAAAACGTTTTTTATTTTATTTTTCTATGGCTGGGTTTGGGGAACTCGAAGCTTGATTGATTAAATTAAGCCAAATAGTTAGTTTGTAAAATTTTGAAATTTCTGATATGCTCGGTTATATAACAGGTAATATAACGTATACATTTCTGCTAGCTTACGGTTATATAATTGGTTATACGACAACACGTTAATTTCGTTATATTGCGTTAGACGCTACGTTAATTAATTTTTCGCTTTTTATTACAATGCACATAGTTAATTAGATAACTGTAACTGTGTTTATCTGGTTTGTTCATTGTGAATTATTGTATTGCGCCAAAAAGTAGGCAACATTTTCTACATATACATTTCTGATAGCTTACGGTTATATAATTGGTTATATAACGTAGAATTATGATTATAACAAGTTAATTTCGTTATATTGCGTTAGATGCTACGTTAATTAATTTTTCGCTTTTTATTACAATGTACATAGTTAATTAGATAACTGTAACTGTGGTTATCTGGTTTGTTCATTGTGAATTATTGTATTGCGCCAAAAAGTAGGCAACATTTTCTGTTATTGTTACTATTTATTTTCTAAAATTTGTTACGACACAAGCGAAACCTGGCGTTCCGAGTTAAGTAGATGAAGTGCGTGGCGAGAATATAAAAAGTTAGTATTTTTTAGGAATCTCGATAAACTAAGCCGAATCTACGCGAATTTCTTACTACAAAAAAGTCTAATAAAGCCCTTAAAAGCCTTGGAGTAAACTAAAAATATTGGTCTATTTTTTTTTTCTTTTTTTTTTGTTGTTTTTCACTGCTATGGTGTTTTTTAGTTAAAAGGTATAATGACGGCCGGCAAAATTTGTATGAAATTAGCTTTAAAGCTCTAAATATTAATGCATCCTGTTTACATCTTCTTAGTTTCTACTTCTGGGTCCTAAATCAATTATTATGCTTTAATTAGTCATATATGTTATTAAATAAAACCAAATTAAGTACCGAACCCGCTTAAACAACCACCGTTTGGAGGCTCTGTACTATCATCAAAGAACTTAACTTAAGTAGTTTTTCTATTATGTTAACGACTATTTTGGAAGACCTCGACTTTCAGCGTAATTTACGTGAACTCTATATTACAAAAGTTTAATAATAAAGTACTAAACATGGAATTTGATCCTATAGAATTTATATGTTTTGAGGAAGCTTTTGTGAATATAAACTTTCGAACGCAATAATACTTTTTGGCGACGCAAGAATCACTTTTATTATATTTTGGTGACGATCTCTGAAATTTTATGCTTTCAACGGCTGTCAAAGATAAGCTAATGTCACTAGGCAATCGGCAGTTAAAAGTAGCAGTGGTCCATTCCACATGTTAAAAATTTAAAAACTTTCTTATTTATCAATTTATCTCGCTTAGCATTGTTAAGGGATTTTTATGCACATTTTGACTATTTTACTACATTACAGTTATTTTTTGTGATACTTACATATGCATGTATGTACATACATAAAATTATTCGTAAATCTAAATTACCTTTATCTTTCCGAGAATGGATTGTGGACGCGGCCGTTTTGAATATTTGCAGATGCTGGTTTCTTGTGCTATACAATACTTTGTTGTTGTCGTCAGCAGACACTTAGTGAGCAACATAATGCCAAAAAAAGCCCTGAAAAAGTCTTCCAACAAATGCCACACAGCAATTTAGCCATGTGTTGTGCACTATCAAACCACTTTAGACCAACTAAATACCTAAAATTTATTTAAGAAATTTCGAAAACACTGCTATTTCCAAGCAACCAACCAAACTGCAAAACGACCGACCAACTAACGGGCAAACACGCGCTGCTGCTCCTTTCGCGACTACACGAGACACAAAAGGCGAAAGCAAAGGCTAAGCGAAAATCGATATTTTTTGTCGCGAGTTAACGCCCTTGGCACTGCAAGTGAAGTGCAAGTAACTTGCGATTTCCGAGAATTATGCACTAAGTAGTATATTTTGTTTAGTGTTAACTAAAGTAATTTTTTGAAATCGCAAAATTCTCGTTTTTGTGGAAAGTTTTCGAACCATGCTTTCGCTTTCTTCATCATACTCTCTTTGAGTATACTTCGTTTACACTGTGTCATGATGTTTCCTTCTACACATTTTTTGGTTTAGAAAAATGCAATTTTTCTCCACTTTTCACACGCAACCGAATGTCCTCAGGCACGATGTCCTTCGCATAGCACAAATTGCTATTTCAATTTTTTGCGAAATTATTTTGAACGCTTTGTTCTTTGTGGACTTTTAATAAAATAGAAAAAAGCACCGTTAGTTTAATCACTGACAGCGTCAAGCTTTGCGTGCCAATGTCGACTTGACTTCTGCATACGAAACAAAACACTACAAATCCACGGAAACAACGCACGAGCGATTAGCCGCTTTGGAGTGTGGAGTGGCGTGGCGAGCAAATGGGAGTGCGCTACCGCCGCCGTGCCGCAATACGAGTATGCCACTATAAGCACACACATATAGATAAAGCAGTGTCCAAACCCACGCAAAAGTCCACTCAGCTGGTAGGTATGAATGTGTGCACACCCTTTTCATGTAATATGTAGTATCCAAAACGACCTAAAGCTATCGTAAGCAGGGGTTTCCCCACACACTTTTATATATACTGCCTATATACGCATATGTACATATGTTTTTATTACCCGCCAGTTCTAATCATCTGTCGGCTGTGCCATTTATGAGTGACGCTTGCTTGGATACAAAGTTGTGTAAGGGTGTTTCCCTTTTTGTTCTGAGTTGAAATTCCTGCATGTTTACCATATCTCTAATCGGCCTAAATTTGAATGTAAAAAATATCCTTCTGAAGTCAACGTTAAGTAGAGCACATGGACGTTGCTGTCACGCGGCCGACTTTACGCGACCAACACGGTGCTGATTTGTTTTTGCTGCTCGCTAAGCACATTTCACAATGCTTTTTGGGTAATGATTGCAGAAGACCAACGAAAACCACAAACTGGCAATAATAAATACTTCTTCTTTATTGGCGTAGACATCGCTTGTGGGGTTGCAGCCGAGTTTACAACAGCGCGCCAGTCGTTTTTACTGTTTTTCTTCAATTGGAAATTTCAATTGTAGTTGGGTCCTTCTATACCTGGTCTTTCCAACAGAGTAGAGATCTTTCTCTTCCTCTGCTTTCCTCGGCGAGTACTGCGTCGAATACTTCCAGAGCTGGAGTATTTTCGTCCATACGGACGAAAGGACCTAGCCAGCGCACGCGCGGTCTCTTAATTCGCTGAACTATATCAATGTCGTACAGCTCGTTGTACCATTAACTGCGGTACTCGCCATTTCCCAATGCGCAAATAACCAAAAATCTTTCACAAACCTTTTCTTCGAACACTCTTAGGGCCGACTCATCAGATGATGTCATTGTCCATGCCTCTGCATCGTTTAGCCAAACGCAGATGATAAGCGCTTGGAGAGTTTGGTCCTTGTTCGTCGAGAGAGGACTTTACATCTCAATTGCCTACTCAGTCCGAAGTAGCACCTGTTGGCAAAAGTTATTCTACGTTGGATTTCGAAGATGACGTTGTTGTTGCTGCTAAAGCTCGTTCCAAGACAGACGAAATTAGTGACGTGAGAGCCAAGTCGCGAGTGTGACGACTGTTTGTTTGATGCCAGGAGATATTTCGTCTTGCTCTTGTTCAATACCAAACTTATTTGCTTCGCTTCCATAACCAGTCTGAAGAAAGCAGAACTAACGGCGCGGTTGTTGATGTTAATGATATCAATATCAATCAATATCATCGACGTACGTCAGCTGGACACTCTTATAGAAGATTGTACCTTCTCTTTTAAGGCATGCAGCCAAGAGTAGATTGAACCAGTCTGTTTGATCGGTAAAGAAATTCAAAGGTGCTCTATTTCAGACAGCATGGCCACTTTGGACGCGGTGAAGTTGTAAAACTTTAACGACACAATCTTCTAGGTCAGTTTTACTTTAGAAGAAGGATAATAAAGGCTGTAATGGATACCCTACATGGTACTGTGATAAGTAAACATACGATCTGAGTTTCCTAAAGTCACATAATGGTCAGCCTGAGATTGTTTTCAGCATCAGAAAAATATCTGGCACCTTCTGGGAAAATGTTTGGTATTTTAAGGATCAGACAGTATCAAAACTCGTAATACAGATAGAAAAAGAATATTTTTTATTTCACCTTTGGCCGGATAGAGGCTCTAAAGGTTTCATACCATACATCCGTATTCTTTTTATTGTTGGTAAATTGTTTATTTATAAAAATGGATCCAACCGTATATATAGTTGTTTTATCATAAAGGTTTATTAGACTTTTCTTTTCAAATTGCATTCAACGGTATAGGAAATTGTTTTTATTACCCTTTGAAGGACATATTATTAAAGAGCATTAGCCTCACCTCAAAGTCAAAAGAATATGACGAGTAAAGTAAAACGAACGTCGATATGTCACTAACTTTGTACAAACCATACTCTGGACTTCTCGTGTTTCTATGTAACTCTCTTATTCTAATCTTAAATAAATCGTTACCTAGAGCTTTTCTGAAACATATTTCATACCCTTCAAGCAATCAACATTTAAATAACCTTCAAGTATTTTCCTTTGTTCCGAACTCACCTGTATAACGGCGGCATTCTCCTCAGTTTTCACACCATCCATTTCGGTGCGATTTCGCATCGCTGCTGCCGCTTTAGCCTCCTGATAATCGATATCACCCGTTTGTAGCCGTTTCATTTCGGCCAAATTACTGGTTGCCTGCTCCGTACTGAAACCATCGGCTACGACTTTTGTCTTCGATTCGGTCTTTGTGCGTTTCTCTTCGAATTTAACGGTGTCGACGATTTTACCCGACCCATTCAGTCCATTGGCGGTCAATTTGCCATTCGAAGCGCTCACCAAATCAGCTAAATTATGATGATCATCATCTGTGTCCGGAAATGTTACCAACGGTTCGGCATCGCTGTCGACGAGATTTTCAATGGATGAGCGGATTCTGGAAAAGTAAAATTTCAAATAAATTAATAAGTGATTTAAGGGTCGTAGCTCAAGTGCAACATACTTTTTCTTCAATTTGTTGATGGCATCCGAGCTGTTCAACGCATTGATTTGTGTGAGATCGTTTATGGATGGCTGATGCGCTGACGCTGAGATGGCCAGGTTTTTGTTGCTGCCCAGACCACCGCCGCCGCTCGCATTGTTGGTATTGCGACCGACCAGATCGGTGATTTCGGACATGGAATTTTTGATTTCGCTCAAATCGCGTTTCAGTGCTGCCGTCTTCATTTCAGATGATGATGTGGACGAGGAGGACGTTGACGAAGATGATGAGGATGTTATATGGTGCAGACGTTTCTTTTCAACGCGCGTTGTTGTACTGCTGTTAACGACCTGCAAGCGAGTAAATGGAAAATTAAACAATTAATTACTGCAAAAATTTCGAAGTTCGCTGTTTTTGTTGTTATAATATTGAATGTTTGCAATTTTGCAAAGATAAGACGAAATAAGGGGCGACATAACCCGTATATATCTACCTAACTACATATACATATGCATATGCAATGTATATGTTAGATAAAGTTTATAAAGAAATGCATGTGGTAATATTGGCGAACAAATTGCGCCCGAGAAAGTAAATGCTTGAGGTGGGAAAACGCTCTTGGTAAACAAAATGCCAAGAATGTCACATATTCTTGTTCGGCTGACGAGGTTGCACAATTGCCACTCACAAACACATACACTCACTCGCGCAAACACACATGGTACATAATTTAATTTGCTTGTTTTGACAACATTTCTCAGATGTTTTCGCAGTGAGTCTGTCTGTCGTGCTAAAAATAAACGTGCAACCGGCGCAAATAAATACTTTTGTTGTACAAATATTATTGTTTATTATTATTTTTAAACTAACTGCTATTAACGAAATCATAGAATTTTTACTTTGACGCGAGCGCGCGTTTCGAACAACTAACAAAAATATAGATGTACTCTCCGGTAGTTTGAGAGAGCGATTTTGGGCGTAAACAGCGCGAAAATTTATAAATCGCGAAATTGGCGGTAATAAACTATTATCAGCGAAGGAAATTAAAGTACCATGCGCATTTGCACACATACAAACATTCATACATCGAATTATACACACATTCATATAGATCCATGAATACTTTTACACACATACATTGCAATCATTGAGAATGTTGCAGCGCGTGGAATTATAGCACAGAAGAGAGATATTTTACAAAAAAGTACATCCGAATTTGTTCTTGTGTTATATATTTCATTTATCTGCTAGGGTAGCACAGGAGATTTTGATATTCATAAATTTTTGGTTGTCAAATCTAAAATAAAATTTAAAAATTAACTAAACAAATAAGAAAGTAATAATAATAATAACAATAATGCGACTGAAAAAAAATGTAAGAACGACAAATCACTCGGCTCGGAAAGAAGCCGAAGCCGGAAGAATCCTTGAACCCAGTATAAAAGCAATGGCTGCTGCTAATCTCTAAGGGAAAAGGGGATCCAAACATCAGCATACCGTCCACTATGCATGCTTGATACAGCGGGAAAACTTTATGAAAGGCTACTTAACCTCAGAATGTGTCAATGTGTTTTTACGTGAATTCCTGTCTATCAAGACTAAACTCAACGGTGCTTTCTATTGCTATAAGCACATAGATCAATACAATGCGTTGAGCGCCCCAAAGCATAAATGCATTTTGCGCTTAATTTTTGGTTCCGATTGGTTCGGGTGGATAGGGACACCCTAGTCACCTTCGTCGGGTTCGAGGCCTATCTAAAACCTCTACCGTACTTTGGGTCCGGCACCCGGCCGCAGTGCGACTCTACATTGGACAAAATGTCCTTCCTGCATTTAGGTTTAAACCACAGCCACCACGAATATCCACAAAGGGCCAAACCCAATGAGCAGATTGGAGTTACCTCCAAGGGCTTACTGCTCCCCGTGGTACCAAGTTTAAGTCTTTGGTCTGACTTTGTAGCTTTTGCTACTACCAGTTGAGTCCCCAAAAACTCAATGACTGGTTGCCTTTGTCGTTGTGACAAATGCCTTATATTTTGTGATATAAATATAAAGCTAAAAATTTGACTTCCAGCAGAATATTATAGCACTTATCTGGCTTAGACCATGTTGACACCAAACATGGTCTCTAAAGCCTGACATAGTGCATATAGCTTTTAGTCGCCTCTTACGACAGGTATGCCTTGCCGCGGGTATATTCGGTTTCCCCTCGAATCCGGAGTGGTCCCCCCTACACTTAACCTCAGAATGTCCGAAACGCCTTCAGCAGCGCCAGATGAGTAGATATGATCAACCATCTCAAAAAGGCTTTAAAACCCCCGAAATTCAGGAATAGAGCAATGATCCATTCTAGGCTAATACTGCATACCCCTTGAAATAAATATACAAACGACTACGGATATTCTTTGGAGTTAAAAAGCAGTAAACTACCTAGGCGTAAGATTTTGGGTACAAATAAAGCACTCCGCAGGAAAGACTTAGAAAATCATCTCCCAACTTAGCAGACTAATGGCCAACATAGGGGGCCCCAGCCAAGGAAAGAGAAAATTCCTAATATCGACGTCAATCAGCGTCCTATTATACGTAGCTGTGAGCTGGGTAGATGAACTTAAAAAGAGAAACCGGTGTAAGCCAGAGTGCACCGTACCGCAGCTCTTAGAGTTGTATCAGTTTACCGATGCAATGTGTCAGGTGATGCAATGTTAGTTATAAATGGTAATATATCAATTGATCTTCTGGAATACGGAAGGAAAAAGCTGTGTGAGCTAAAGAAAACATCTGAAAATAATAAGAGCGCAATAGAAAAAATACAGAAATATACAATAACAAAATGGCAATGAAGATGGGAGAATCAGAGTCGCGGCATATGGACGGCCAGACTAATAAAAAGCCTAAAATTATGGACAAGCCGTAAATTCGGAGTCTTTTACACAACTCACCTGTTATCCGGTCACGAATACCTCAAAAAGTCCCTCCAAAGAATGGGAAAAGAGCCGTTAGGCCTATACAACGGCGCAACAGAAGACTACGCTGAACACACATTCTAAAAATGCGTCATGCTGGAGAGTGAACCAAACTGAGAGACTATCCGCAAAATCACGTACATGTTATATACGAAACGATTATGTTAAATAAATATTTTGCTGAAGTAATCGATAATGTTTTTCTGGTAAAATTATGCAATCGATTCCAGAAATCGATCAGTCATGGTTATGTCGATTCTAGATCACATAATCTGATGCATATTAAAATAATGCAAAACAGTAAAAATCATATGAAAAAATAATAATAAAATCATATCGATTGTTATTGTAATTATTTTTTTTTATCGATACACAGCCATGAGAAATTTGTAATTTATTTCCATATCCAGTAGATTTTCGTTTTTTGTTTTCCTGAATAATATTACTTTGTATACAAATATTGCAAGTTTGTGTTTGCTTTTCATATTCCTCTTTTCTTTATATTCCACCATTAATTGCCACATTTACTGGACAAATATAGAATATTTTCTATATATTTTCATATTTAATCTAACGAGTAATCAAATTTTCCTTTAAAATATTGCAACACCTTTATTCTCTCTTTTCTCTCTGCGTATTGGGTATATATAAAGAGAAATGAAAACTAAATATTAAATTGTAGTTAAGCCCGCGCAAATATTTTTATTTATTTATTTACATCGAGCGCATGAATGCGCAAATTACATTGGCACGACTAGCCGGCTACCAAATACAAAAAGGCATGCAGAAGCGTAATAAAAATAAAGAATCATAAATTTCATTAATGGCGACAAGCACACTTGCATATAAGCACGATTAAACATACACGCAGACACACATACATATGTACAAGCATATCTAATATGCTCACATGTCGGCAATGTAAAATTTTATGGCCGCACGAAAGTCAAAGTATAAACTTTCACACATACATACATACAAATATATACACATATATACATAGTTTGTGTAACAAAATAAAATATAATGTAATAATAATTTACTAACAGTGAAAACGTGTGGAAGAAATTTTGCCGCAAAACTTGAGTGCGAATTCCACAATTAGCCGACGTCAACATCGACAGCTGGCACATGAACGATATTTATGGATCTTGAAAAAAAATGAAAATAAAACTACATTTTATTCGTTGTATGCGCGCAAACTAATAGCGGTTAATCAATGAGAATTCTTCTTAATGGCTTGCAGAGCTTAAGTGGCCAACCGAGCGTATACGCAACTAATTCATTTCATTCACAAGTCGACAATTTCCTGATTTTCTTAAGCAGAGGAGGGTGAGAGAAATTCAAATTTATTTTCCACATTGAAGTTATTGTTGGTATTACAAAAAAAAAAAATAATATTGCCTTTAATGCTTACAAATAGCTAAAGTTCAGTACAAACAAACATACATACATATATTGAGTGGAATATTCTAGCAAAAGCTGCGCGCCGCCAACACCTTAGACAATCAGCGCAGCTGCTACTGTTTTCATTGACATGACACTACAACTTTCTTTAGTTGTGAGCGATTTATAATATATATTATACACTTTACATATGAGCTGAAAATCTTTGCATTAGTAATCGTTACTAATTATGGCTATGCAATAGCTCGCTCCTTATATAATTCTACTCGTGCATCTATATTTTTAATTTAAATGTCCGAAAGTCGTTTCTTTTATAATTTATTTATACAACTTTTTAGGTGAAATGTCAGTTTTGACACTTAAACATTATGGCTTTGTGGCTGTGTGTGTTCCTGTGTTTATGTTAATTACCGGCACATTGTGTCGCTCAAAGCGCTTGTCGCCTTTTTCGCTCGTGCCGGCATGTTTGTGTATTTGTGGACGTGTGCGGCGTCGAAAAGTCGCTCTTCCGCTAATGACACTTGGTTTTTATAAGGAAATATACTGTGGCATGTTTATTAATGTAAAAATAAAATTATTGCAAAATTTCTTTTCTGGCTTTGCAGCTTAAAACATTTGGCTCGTCATCGCTTTTGAACTCAATGAAAACTTATTTTTGGCTATACCAAAAGATATATATCAAATATATAACAGATTTGATTTCGCGTGAAAAGACAATATTGAGATTATGCAGCAAGTTCCTAGGAAGTTGATAATTAAAGATTTATTATATTATATTACTAATAATTTAGTTACCTACTATGAGTGTTCGAGTTATTAATTAGTTTTTGTTTTACTTAAATTTTTTTTATACATTATCATGCAAAAAACAATAAAATTTTAGAAATTAAAATTAAACAAAAAAATTTTAAGAAGACAATTTTGCTGCTTAAAATTCTCTCAAAAAACTTTATAACTATACATGACATATTGAGTCAGAT